AGGCTGAGGTGACCCCTCTTGTGCACAGCCAGAAAAAGCTAGCTCTGTGCCCAATTCCAGCAAGTCAAATTTATAAAAACACTTGCTTTGAATGCTAATAGTGCACTTGGGTTCTCACTGGAATCCAGCTGAAATCGCTTTCTGTTCAATTAGGGCTTCATGACCTCAGGGAGGGAGGGAGCCACTCTATCCTGATTTGACTCTGGGTTACTGGATAGCTGGTAGGATGGGGACAGCACAAGCGCTAACAAGATGAAAATTCATTTGCAAGGGGGAGTGATTTTGACCTAAGTATACTGAGAGTTTTCATCCCTTGAGTCGGCCTGATTTTGTTTGGAAAACTACTTGGAAGGGAAGACCTTGAAATTCCCTATACACCTACATGTAGACAGCAAGCCTCTGTGCATGAGGTAGAGAGGAAGTGGGAATGATCCTTTCCTTTACAGAATACACATGGGGGGGAGGGTGGGGAGAACAACACACTTCTGCTGTGGAAGTACAAAAGTCAGCAACCACAGAGCCTCATTCTAGGCCAGTTGCACTATACATACTACCACTAAAGGTTTTGCCTGCAATTGTGACTGCCCTATTTGCTCCCATTCTGATATGAAAAAGGGCTAGTTTTTAAACAGCAACTTCATCCTTATGGATAGGCTTCAGCTTATATAGGAGAAGCCTCTGGAGACTTGAGAGAAGACCTGTGAACTTATATGGAACCAGAAGTACAACTGTAGTGGAAACCAGTGGCCAATATCCATCAAACCTACAACTATAATTTGTAGGAAAATAACAATGGCATTTGTATAGTTAAGAATCCCAGCATCCCTTTCTTCTATTAACAGCAGCATTTCAATCTCAATAAAGCCAAACACCAAAGGCCACATTATTCCTTCTCTTGTTTCAGTTCTCAATGGAAGTATTTGTTTCTGTTCTACTTGTAGGCTTAACTACAGCTTTTCCCATGAACTGCTGTGCATATGCCAAAATGCCTTTTGCAACTGGTAACTCACTGGGTGCATTAGGTTCCAATTAATATAAAAATACTGGCTTCATAATGCTTGAAATATTTTGTGGAGTGAACACATTAAAAGAATTTAAAGCAGCAGGAAATGACTGTGTACAAGGAACTCTTCCCCCCTGCTTTCCCCCGGATAATTAATTCATCTGGTGAAAGCATCTTGTAATTTAACATTCTTTTTTCATATTAAAGACAAAAAAAGAGATCCAATTCCCCTACGTTAACAGTCCATTCAGACTGCACCATGAAGCACCTGCAAGGAAATGTCAAAATTGAGGATGATGTAACCTTAACTCAGCCCCTTGTGCATGTGAATTAATTTGGATATAGTCTTAATTGCATCGCATATCAAGTTGCCAACAACAGGTCTCTTGGACAGTTTTTCCAACAATTTATGTTACTAGGTCTAAGAGCAGGGAAAGGGAAAGGCATTTAGGTCAGAAAAGCAGCAGGAGATAGAGAAATAGGCCCTATTGGTAGCCAAAATATTTGGGAGCCTGCCCTGGCTTGATACAGCCATTCAAACGATGAGCTAGATTAGATTCACTGAGCTTTGCTGCTTGCATACCCTTTACAAAGTCTTGTCCCCAAGATGAGTGCTTAGCAAATTAAGAAGAAAAAAATCTCCTCTTCATATGCTCAGCACACAAATGCCAAATGTTGGTATAATTCAGGTCAGTCAACAGCCTCTGGGTCTTTTCTGTGAGGACTTTTTTGTAAGGGCTTTTTCTAGGATAAACCGCAACTATCAGAAGTCAGTCAGTTGGGCAAAAAAAAAAAGGGGAAAAAATTGATCTCCCTCCTCCCCACCTTTGCCCCCGCTAAACAATGACCAAACCTTTTCTTCACAAGGACTTGCTGAAAATAGGACTTTCTAAATGAAATCATTTTACACCCCAAAGCACAGCTTTCAATGATGCACCTGCTCTGATATGCAGTTAGTGAACTTAAGTAAACACCCTACAGGATTGTTCTCCATTTGGATTTATTAGTTGTTATCAAGGAAAGATAATTAGCTGTGCTGAAGTGCTGTGATAATCAGTAGTATGAACTTGTTACCAACAGAAACAGATTGGGATTTTTGTACAGTGCAGGAATGTGACAGCCCTGGCTATGTACCTCTCTGTTTTCTACACAAATGAGTGCGTGGCTGTGTAGAAAACAGAGCCACATGCATCCTTAGCATGTGAGGATCCTGACATCCACATGATCCTTAGCATCCTGAGCATGCATGCCCCTCACTAGCTAAGGATGCATGTGAGGGGCATGGGACACATGCATCCTTAGCTAGTATAAATTGTCAGAGCTCTGGTAACTTCAGTGATTTGCTTCAGTGGCAGATATGCCTTTTTAGTTTTGTGGTGCTTCTGTATAGATTGTCTCAGAAGAGGCAACTTGGTAAAGAAATGCATGACTACATTTTTTTTAACAGTATAAAATTTATCTAACTGCTGGGCAAGTGAAATAGCAAATACTTTTAGTTTTGCTGTTCAATGTTATACGTGCTCTCTCTTTTGTATGGTGTCAGATATCAACTTTCAAATCTATAAGCCACTGCCTGGTATTATTATTCAATGTGCAGATTCCGTCTACTCTATCTGGGCATTTGTAAAGATTGCAGCTTTTGATTAAGTGCTGTGTTTGAACACCACATTTACACAGGGGGTCGTTCAAGATGTTAATCTTGTGAAGTGTTGTTTTGAAGCTTCTGTATCCAGATCTCAGTCTGTTCAGCTTAATCCATGCTTGTCTGTCAAGGTCAAGTCCAATGGGGGTCTCGTTTGGTGTTGGTATAAAACACTGTAGGAATAGGTCTGACCTATCCCAGGGGTTGGCCCACTCCACTGCTGCCCATAGGTCATCTCTTCCACTAGCTTATTGGCACTGACCAAGCTACATTACTTACATCTGACATAGAAAATGGATTTAAAATGAGGTAGAAAACAGGCATAGTCTTTATCAACCTTACAGCTGCCTATGACACTGTATAGCACCAATGCCTCAAATACAAACTGTACTTTATGATACCTGACCACAAGCTATGCGCTTGACCATGAACACAATCTCCAGCAGATCATTTAAACTCACTACTAGCCAAGGAGAGAAAAAGCAGAGTACGAACTCTGAAGAATGGAGTTCCACAAGGGTCAGGGATAGCACCAGTACTTCTCAACATACATAGACCTCAGACTTCCCATACACAACATCTAAGCAATATTATATCATAACAAATTGTATCATTTTACTCTGTGGTCATCCTGGTTACTCAGAGTAAAAACAAAACAAAAAATTGGGGTCGGGGAGGAATAATGTTGCAATTTACCTTACGTCAGAGGTGGGCAAAATATGGCCGGCAGGCCACATCCGGCCTGCCAGGCTATTCTATCTGGCCCACAGGGCCCCTAAAAAAAAATAAGAAAAATTGTTATCTGTCCGTGGCTGCCTGTCTGAGATGTCAGCAATGGCAGGAACCAGGAGGAGCCCTCAGCAGGACCTAGCAGCCACAGCAGCAAGTCCTGCCCAGCCCTGCCTCACCCCTAGCCCCCTCCACCCCACCCCTAACTGGAAGCCTCTGGCTAGCAGAGGCTTTTGGCCTGGCGACCATGGATGCTGTTCCCTTGCCCTCCCCCTCCATCCGAGAGTGTAAATTCAGCTAAGAAGGGAGTGCGGGGGGGAAGGTGTCCCAGCCATGCAGCTAGGAATTGTGTTGCTAGAATGGCAGGCAGGTGGGGAGGAGCAGCGGCGATGGGCAGGAAGGTGGGGAAATGGTGGGGGGGAGGGGGAAGTGGCAGCAAGCGGGTGGGTGGGAGTGCAACTACAGCTGGGTGGGAGCATGGGACCCACACCAGTGCCTGAGGGCTAGGCTGGAAGGAGTGCAGAGCCTGGGCTGTGAGTGCCCCAAGGCCTCGCTGCCTGCTACTGCCACTGGTGGCAAGGGCTCTGGGGTGTGTGTTTGTGGGGGTGGGGTCCAACACGCGCCCCACCACACATATGTACCCACACTCCCTTTGCACCACCATACACATGCACCCACAACCCAGCCACCCTCCCCCCACATACTCAGCATCCCACAAACCCCATACCTATCCATCCTCTGCCACACCCCACATATACACATACCCACCCCCCACACCCTCCCACAATATACAAGAGTAAGACTTCATTTTAAGCTATTATACAATCACCTCTATGTACATTACACAAACAGATGTAAATCAGGACAAAAATATTTTTTGAAATTAAATTAACGCGTTTGTAGAAGATGTTTGATTTTTCAAATATAAATTGTTTTTTTCTGGTTCCAAGATGGCAAGTCCTCTTGCCAAAAGGAGCACTTCCAGGGGCAAGGGGAGGGACTTCTGGTGGCAAAGTTCAGGGGGTGGGACTTCTGGTCCCACGATGGCAACCGGGGGCATGTCTACCCATGCGGCCCTCAACAGCTTGCCAAAACTCATTAAGTGGTCCTCCAGCCAGAATAATTGCCTGCCCCTGCCTTAAGTCAATTAAATTCTAATTATTGCAGAAGTTGATATAACAGGAAAATTCTAAAATGTCCCATTCTCTGGCCCCAGACGTTGACTTGCCTTAATCGCACCCATTCCTTCCATATACAGAAAAGAAATAAAAGGATATAGGTATTCATATTTCCAAAGAACAGAGGTAACATGTTAGCTTAGAAAGATTTGAAGTAGAGCTCATGACACTGCTATAGACAGAAGTTTCATTTTAAAAATACCTACTGCCTTCTGTCACTGACCTCTCTTAAACATATGGTCCATCTCTTTTGAAAGACAATCTTGGATTCTAAATTTTCAGCCATTATGGATAGGATCTTGAGGCAAACATGGCACCTACAACACCATTCACATCACTGGGAGTTGAAGATCATTGGCACCTTTCAGGAAGTCCTTAACAACCCCCTAGGATTGGACCCAAATTCATTGTGTGTACAGTTTTAGTTCACAGATTAATTAGTATATGCATGATTGCATCTACTACTGCACTGAAAGGGGTATTTTAGGCACATCATGCCCAGTAATGTTAATGGCAGTTACTCAGGTTCACTTCAACAATAGCAAAGGCATTTTGCTATGATCCGTGCTGGCAGTTGAGTTACATTCCTTAACATACACAACATACTTCCTGGACTGGGATTATGTGACTGGTTGACATATGTAAAACTATGAAATGCTTTGTATATCTCAAAGCCTGCCCTCTAGGAGAATTCTAATGTTCCTAGAGAGAAAGTTTGAATTTACTGAAGGCAACGACTGATTTTTGTTTTAATATCCTATAAACAAGCGAAACCCAAAGAAGTGCAAATAAACATTAGTTAAATATATGCAAAATTGTGCTTTTCATGTCACATTAGGCAAGCTGATCTCCTTTCACCAGCACATGAACAGGTGGAGAGATGCCACCTTACAATGGTTCTCAGACTATTTCAGTTTGCATACCACTTTGTTTGCCATGCGGCTGTGTGTGCTTGTGATTCCAAGTTACAGATAAAAAAGAAAGGCGCCTGTAATCTCACCAACAACCAAAGAGATTGCCATTCTTCCATTTTTATTTCCCCTTCTTTTCTGTTCCTACTCCTTCCTCTCGCATACTCTGTAGAAGAGAGGTGCACAGCTCAATCTCTGTGGTGAGTCACCTGAATGGATCTCCACTGATGTAAGCCCTCAGCATCTCTAAATCAGAAACTGGACTGCACATGTGAAGATTAACAAGTCCATGTGCAGTGAGGACACAGGACTCGCTGCTTTGTGCTTCAAATCCCTTTTCATTTAATAAAATGTTTTAATCCAAAACTATGGCAGACCCGTGAGCTGGAGCAGATCCACTGCTGCTCTGTAACTTGGCTGCTTACCCCATTGCCATTGCTGCCACTGTCTTAGAGTTGTCACTAATGGAATTAAGACAAAGATATCTACAGTAGTATCTGCTATAAGCCATTTCCCTCTATACCTGTGTTACTGGGGCAATATCTTAAGAGCTGAAAGGACAAGCAAACGATGAAGCAGCACAGACATTCTTTTTCCAGGCTTATCCAAGGGGCTGCTCCTATTTAAGGGAATGGGAATTAATCCTGAGCTGATGGAAAGCAGCAATTGCTGCGTAGCATAGCATAGAAATCAATGCTAATGCTGATTTATGCTGATTTACTGCAGAGGAGGCCCTGAAAGCAGAATTCAGTCTGTAGGGTTTTTTTTCTTTTTTGAGATTTACAATAAGCTGATCTGTGACTTGCTGGAGCCAGCTCTGCCTGATCCGAACACAAGAGTCTGCCACAAGAGGCAGACACTGTGGCTGTGTGAAGACCAGAATGGTAATCCCTGTGTCCAAGATCTGAACTGGATCCATGTCTGAGATGCTGACAAGGCCTGGAAGCTCTGAGGCTGGGTCTGAAAAACCAGAGCTTTGGCAGCGCTCACCTGGACCAGAACTCCAGCCACAGTCACAGGATCTCTTCCAGCTGGATTCTTCACCTAAGAGGACGCAGCAGTGAGATGGTCCCCAAAATGAGTGGGCTGTCCTGTGTGACTTCACCAGCTCAGGGCATTGCAAGGACCAGAAGAGTAGAGACCGAATGACGAGGGCAGATAATATCAACATCTCTCTGCACACAATGGGCTGCTGCATTGCTGCCCTGCGCTAGAACCAGCAGTCCAAGATGAAGCCGGTTGTGGTTCCCCTCTGGGACAGCAAGCTGGCTTGTGTGTTCCAGGGCTTCTTCACATGGTGCTCCTGCACGATCGTCAACATTAGCCAGTGCATGGCCATGTATGACAAAAACCTGCATGTGGCCAAGTTCTTGGCGCTCATCAGCCAGCTCATTCAAGCTCCTGCAAAAGTGGTTCTCCTGTCCATGCTGTCCATTTTCAGGGAACACTGACAAGTTGGTCAGATCTCAGAAGCAGGCTCAAAGCAGGAAGTAGAGCCTGAGGAAGTGCGTGAAGATGAAGCAGATGTGGCCTTGTCTAACAAGAAGGTGAGTGGTGTCTGTCTTGCACCCTCATAACTGCCACAGCAGAAGGGTTTGCTTTGTGGCTCTGTCAGATTCCAATGAATCTGCTAAATACCATGTCATCAACAATCTCAGACATGCACAATTCTGGAGAGAACATCTAATTTATGACAAGGACATGAGGAGGAGGAGAAGTCTGAGGTAACCAGATAACTCCCCACAGACAAAGCAACAGTCTCCACCTTCACAACCAAGCTGCTGAGCAGGCAGGCTTTAGAACGTTCTTTTATATAAAAATGGACTAATTTTGCTTCACACTCCCAAAATTCACTTACCTAATTCTAGCACTATTCCTTTCACTTCTCCCTCTACAGTGGTGTCACTGAAACAGGCAAGGTAGCTGGGAAATGCAATGTATCCTTGGAAACCAGCCTATAGCCTCAGCAGTCTTGTGTAAGAGGCATCTATGTCTCTTGTGTCCTTACAATGACTCTGCAGGCTGGAAACCCAGTCCTTGAACACGCTGGCTTCAGTGGAGTCGATGGGAATCTGAACTGTCACATCAACCTGACTGAAAATCTGCATAGGAGACTAATAAACTGATGATTAAGACAACCAGTGAAACATCTGTCTCTGCTCTTTGGTACTGGAGTTTTGGAGGGAACTATGGGAGAGGAAAGGGGAGGAAAGTTTATGGAGCAAGTTCCTGTTGTGCCTCCGCACAGGTCCTGGAAGTGGTGTGAAGGGGACAAAGCAGAACTGATGTTTCAAGTAATCTCTGAATTTCTAAATAATTTTAAACAAGTCCGATGGCAAGTCTGCTCCCATATCTGGAGGGTCTTTACAAATAAATCTGGCATGTTTCTCACATGTAGGTAGTATTTCTGGAGTAACCTAGTCAGATGACAGCAGATGGTAGAGCTAAAATGGTAAGAGTATCTTAGTGCAAAACCAATGAGGGAGAGTTGGAAACAAGAGGCCAGGTGGTAAAGTGCGTGCAAGACAAGAGAGGTTGTTTGTGAGGAAAGATGACCTACGGTTCACCTTTGCACTCCCTGGATCCTTGTCCTGCCCTGCACAAGGATTGTTTTTTTGTGTCATGTTACAACAAACTCAAGGCTGCTTGAACTTCCTGCAATGGCCACCTGGAGCTGAAGATCAGCTTAGCCACTTCTCTGCTAACAGGAGAACGATTGGCATAAATTAGCTCGAGCATCATTTGTGTAGCTGAATGAGCCAATCAGAATTAGGGCTGGCCTATAATAGTGCCATGGCAAAGAGGGGTCCCACTGCCTTGAAGGATTGGGCTTGGTGTCAATGGCCGATCCAAAAATTACATGGCCGATCCAAAAATTACAGTGGAAGGAAAGATAAGAGATCACACATTGCTTCCAGCAGTTAAAACTGCTTGCCATCTAATGCAGACCCTTTTTTATACACGATAAAGATGACTATGAAAAAGCTTTGTCAGGGACAGCAATAATGGAAAGCCCAGTATAAATATATTATATTGCTTGAAACCTAGAATATACCATTCATCAACAGTGGAATAAATAAGCCCTAAGAGTGAAGCTCAGGCTGTTAACACTAGTAAGCCTGATGAAATCCCTTGCAATAAATATAAGAAATAAATAGAAAAAAAAGTTTTTAATACTGGTCCAAATTTGAACCGATTCGATCTTTGGCTTTTTTATGCCTGTGGCTCACCAGCAGACCACAGCAGCCCTTAGCAAAGTGTCTTTCAAATTAAATCAGTCTGGGAAAAAACTATTGTTAATATAGCATGTGTCTGCAGCTTGGAGTAGCAGGAAGAAAATCAGAACTAGCAGGCCTTTTAAGATACTTTTTTACAAAACTATTTGATTTTTGACATATCCCCTTTTTATTACAGTGACTCTGTACACATATAGGGAGCCAAATTTGGCCCCTGAATAAGTCGGGTGCATTTTCACAATTTCAATAAACTTGCTCACCCCAGGTCTGAATTTAGCTCCTGTTATTCCTTTTCTAATGTAGCCTCTCTCAAATGAGGTTGAAAGGTACAAGAAATTCCTTTCAAATACAAGTGCTTTTCATAGCTACACCCTAGCAGCTTCTATCCTACTGTTAGTCATCTCATGCCCAAACCAACCTCTGCTGAAATCAACAGGAGTCTTTCAACTGATTAAGCTGGGATTGGATCAAGCACCTATGAAAATGGCATTGTTTTCTTTCCTCCTTGCTACTTGTGTTTCAACTTCTTTTTTTCAGCTGAGTACATACTTGCGAGACTTGTTCTAGGAATTTTTTTTTGCCCCTCTCCAAATTACAACTGCACTTCTGTGTCTAGCCAACAGTTTCTTCTGCATGTGTTTCTTCGTATCTGCTTACTGAATGACTGTGAGGTTGGAGGGAAGATCTTCACAGTTCCCTGGGTATAACAGTGAATGGGACAACAGGACTGCTGGATTCCAGGTCGAGGGCTGTTAGGAAGCATTCAACAGCGGCTTCATTGTTTCCTTGAGTTTGCAATACTTCCCCCAGGCGGTTCCAGGCTTTGTGACTGGTGTTCTCTATCTGGACGGCATCTTTCAAAATCTTTTGAGCCAGGTTATTCCTTCCAAGCCTGCTCAGTACTGGGCCCTGGAAAGAAACAACAATGGAGCATGAGTGGATAGCCATATTATCATTGCCAATTAACAGTGTGTGCTCTACAATTATCACACAATGGAGGAATCCACAGAATGCTCTCCTCCTCTTCCCCCAAGATGCTCAGTATTGCAGTATTCCTTAGCCTGTGAGAGGCTCTACAACACAGAATGATTCATGAAGAAAAGAGGTTTCCCATATCCAAGTTACGTTTGGTTTTGGGGTTTTTTTTTTAGTAGGGACTGAATTCAAGAAATGTTGAGAAGAGTTAATTCCACAGGGATGTGTTTCAAAGATCATATACAGCAAACAGCAATTTCAAGCACCTCCCATCCTCCTTTATCACTTCTTTGTATTACATTCCCTTTGCGAGTCACTACCCCAATCTGGATCTCAAAGAGCTAGGGGCAGCATAGAAGAGGGTCACTGCTCCAAAAGCCCTATATCAATTTAAGAAGACACATAAGCAGGTGCAGGGATGTGGAAGGAACAGGAGCAGGAGGAGAAAGGAAACAATAATAAGAATGTGTTCGTATAGGCCTGTCACAGTCTCACAAGGCAGCCTCCTATTAATTATACAGCAGTCAACTGATATCCAGCTCCAGAAAGCCACCTGGGGTTTACGTTCCACAACATGGAACAACAGTCGTTCAGTGACTCAACCAAAAGGTGCAGCTGGAATCAAGAGGCCTGGCTCAGCTTCTTGTCCCCATTTCACCTGGAACCAGCTACTGGAAGAGGCAACCAACCCTTTTTTTATCTTGCCTGACAGGCGCCGATTGGCTTCTGCCTGCTCCCAGCCGCTCTAGCTGCTAGAAGACCAATTCCCATTCCTTCTGCCAGCAACAGCTGATGTTGGATGGACTCTCTATGGAGCTCTTGGAGGCCTAAATTTACCATTTTTATTCTTCCAACAGACATCTTGTTTGAGGCAGCTTCACCAACATGCCTTCAACTGGTGGCCTCACACAACCACTATGCTCTCTCCCACCAGGTCAAATAAATATTTAATGCCCCAAATTTGGAGAAGTCCTACTTTTGGAATCAGATTTGCAAAGACTGAGTTGATGTTTCACTGTTATCTGTTATTAACTTCATGTGCTCTTTCCAACAACATTCCCATAACTTAGTTCTATAAGCTAGTTGGCAGCTCTTCACATTAGAACAGGTAAGATGTGGCAACCCAGCTAACAGCATTCAGTTTTGCACAGATGTGTATAGCGAACAGCATGATACACTGCTCACTCATGGTGAACATATGTTGCTCAATGCAGAACTCATCTTTATAAGAATGCACACATCTCTTTAAATGGGCTTGTAAAAATACATGGAGATAGAGAGGTGTCAACATTGTTGAGGATTACGTGACACCAATTGTCCTTTTGCATGATTGTTTGTGTGGATTTGACAAAAAGCTTTGCTGGGCCTTATTGTATACAGCTGAAATGTAAGATGCGTGCAATATCTTAAAACCCTCATGATCACAACCTGAAATATTTGTCTAATAAGAGATGGTTAAAATAGATAGCTTCTTGGTCTTGAAGAACTGTTTACTTTACCCAGCTGCTGGGAGATTTAGGATGCATCACTGCAGCTAAGCCCTATAGAGCAGCAGTAGCACTATTGATAAATACAGAAACCCATTATTGTATCAGAGGAAGGAATGAAGACACAACATGCTTTTAAGCAAACATAGCTATTGTCACCAAACCTTTTATCTTATTTTTTTAAACAGGCACATTATTTTGATCTGAAAAATCCATTTATGATAATTGCATATAAATCCCAAACTTTCAAAAACTAAAATGCTTTCTCTTTCTAATCTACTTCCCTGTTAGGAAAACAGCTACCAAAAGTAATGAAAAGGCAATGGGCCAAACTTTGCTCTTCATGTGCTCAAAGCCTCTCTCTCAAATGCTGAGTGAGTAGGCATACACAAAGGCAGATTTTGGTCCAGCGTGGGCAGCTGATAGGAAAAAGAATCTAGCATAATAAACTTGTAACTTCTGCATATATCATTCAGATCCTTTCAGACCCATTTTAGGATAGGAAACCTGAGGCTGGGACTTGCCCAAAGTAATGATGACTTGTCCAAAGTAACAAAGCAAGTCTTTCTAGCCTGCCCTTGTAGATTGTTTTTTGTTTTGTTTTGTGGGTGTGAGCGCCAATATAGATTCATAGATTCATAGATGTTAGGGTCAGAAGGGACCTCAATAGATCATCGAGTCCGACCCCCTGCATAAGCAGGA